CTAGAGCACTAGACTTGGAGTTAGGAGACCTAGAGCTCAAATCTGGCCTCAGATCCATACTAGCAGTGTGACCCCAAACAAATCACTTAACTTCTGCCTGCCTGTTTCCTTACCTTTCAAAAGGGGATAATAATAGCACCTACTTCCCAGAGGTTTTGTGAGGATTAAATGAGATATTTATAAAATACTTGGCACAGGATGTTTTCAGAAAAACCTGGAAAGACTTACATAAAATGGGGCATAATGAAATGAGCAGAACCAGGAGAATGTTGTACACAGTAACAGCAATGTTGCTAGATGAAGAACTGTGAATGACTCACCTATTCTCAGCAATACGATGATCCCAGACAATCCCAAAGGACTAAAGATGTATCATACTCTCTGCTTCTACAGAAGAACTGATATTGTTTGAATACAAACTGAAACATACTATTTTCCACTTTCTTTTATTTTTTTCTTATTCAAATCTTCTTGTACAAAATGGCTAATATGGAAAAATTTTACATAATTGCACATATAAGCTGTATCTGATTGCTTACTGTCTCAAGGAGGGGGGAGGGGAGAGGGATAGAATTTGGAGCTCAAAACATTAAATAAAAATGAAACACTTAGCAAACCCCAAAGGACTCTATAAATGCTAGCTATTATTATCATCATTATTAACAAGTTCCCCTTTACCACATCAGTCTTCAAGTAGAGGCTAGATGACTACTTGTTGGGAAGATTAAAGGGGGAATCCCTGTTCAGATGGAGGTCATGCTCTTTGAGGTACCCTCCAAACAAGAGAATTTTGCTATTCTCCATGACTTGGGGACCCCTATTCTGCCTTCCAGCTGCTTCTGACATTCTCCTTTTCCCAAGAAATAATCCCAGATCTCCTAGTACTTAGGTGGTACGAATGAATGTGTAAATTAGGTCCCCTGCCCTCAGCTTAAAGTGAATGATCACATACCCTGATGTGTCCAGGAGGTGAGATCAACCAATCAAAATGTCCTCAGATGGATTGGAGTGACTCAGGAAGAGGGTTCTGATAAGCTGAAGAATTTCGATCACATCCTAAAGGTCAATTACAACATATCCACATAGTGGAGAACAGAAGTTATCTGAGAGATTTGGGTGCCAGAGAAATGCAAATGAGGAAGGAACATTTCTGGAGAGTCTAGGACAGGGCTCTGCAAAAATCCTAGCTAAGGAGCTACACCATTCCTAAAGGACACTTCATAAGTACCTCACCGAGGGGAGAGAAGAATGTCTAGCGTCCAGGAACGGGGAGTTCCTCCTTTGCTACGTGGGCTCCCTAGGCTTCAGCCTACTTCCCCCTAGATTCTTTCTGTACTTGTGGAAGAGTGTGTCATCGACTTCTGGGGGGATGTTTTGTGCCAACTGTTCTTACCTTACTAAATACCCTTTTCTAAAAGCCATCTGAGTCTGGCTGACTAAATAGTTGTCAACTGACACTCATGGCAGGAAATACAGTGGTAGGGACTCACAGGCACTGGGATTAGAAAATATACCTAACCCCACCCCCCCTCAACCTCTCCACCTCTAAAGCCCTGAGAAGACACAGTGGCTGAGCTCTGGAGCCCAATTCATCAGAGTGAGTAGGGGCTGGGAAAATACCTCGGGGCTGGGAAAATACCTCAGAGCTTGTGTCTACACCCTGCTCCCTCTGCTTCCTGCCTATATTTTCACATAGCTGTGGGCAGGTAGCAACTGCACCAGGAGGCTACCTCTTCATGCTGCCATCCTCCTAGAAGCAAATACCATGGTTGCAGCCAGCTAGCTATTCATAAAAGGAAATAGTACGGGAAGAGAGAAGAAAAACACGGAGAAGCTGCTACACATCTGGAGCATTGTTTAAAAATTCCAGCTGACTGCAAAAGGGAATTTCCAAAAACGTCAGCATGATGACTTTTTTTTTTTTAGGCAATTGGGGTTAAGTGACTTGCCCAGGGTCACACAGCTAGGCAGTGTCAAGTGTTTGGTCTGAGGCCAGATTTGAACTCAGGTCCCCCTTACTTCAGGGCCGGTGCTCTATCCACTAGGCCACCTAGCTGCCCCTCGACGACTTATTTTGGACAGTAAAAAGCTTGGATAGTAATGCAATGGAAAGAATACCAAGTTAGAAAAAGAACAGAATTACAACATGTCGGCTAAAAAGGACATTAATCCTTCTATATACAATGTCAACAACATGCTAGGCAAGTGATCACTGAGCCTCTGCTTGAAGCCCTCCAGCCAGGAGGACCCCACCCCTCCTAAAGCAGCTCGACAGCTTGTTGTTGTTGTTTCGTCGTCGTTGTTGTTTCTATGTTGGTGGATGTTGAGGTTTCAGGCCACTAAAATCCCAAGTTTTTTGCAAGTGAAATTCCTTCTAACCTCAGCTTCTTCCTTAGGCCCTTGTCAAACTGATTTTTGGAAATCAAGGGAAACACTTTACATTTGTTCCTCCTCAGTGTCATCTTTCTAGATTCCATCAGTCAATCCGCGCATTTATTAAGTGCTTACTGTGTACTAGGCACTGGTGCTAAGCCTCTGAAGATACAAAGAAAGGCAAAAGACAGTCCCAGCTCTCCAGGAGCTCACCATCCAATGGAGACAAGAACTCTAATCTGGCAAGATCTTCTTAGAACCTGACTGTCACCCCATACGTTTGCTCTTTACTCATTCCGTCCCCAGCTTTCTATCAACTGCCAACTGAAAACAGATGCCACCTACCCTTTAACCAAGTCGTTATTCAAAAGTGTTTAAACAGCACAGGGCCAAGCCCAAATCCCTGGCACTTTCCACTAAAGATACTTTCACTGGATACTCTTTGGGTCCGGCATTGAGTCCAGTTGTGAATCCCCCTAACTGTCCTCTTGCTAGGGTACATCTGGGCAGCCAGGTAGTACGGTGGGTGGGGTGCCAGGCCTGGAGTCAGGAAGACTCATCTCCTTGAGTTCAAAGCTGGCTTCACACAGTTACTAGCAGTGTGACCCTAGGCCGGTCACTTTACCCTTGTCTGTAAAATGAGTTGGAGAAGAAAACGCCAACCACTCCAGTATTTTTGCCAAGAAAACCCCAAATAGGGTCATGAGGCATCAGACAAGACTGAAATGACTGAACAACAGTAAACAACAACTAGAATATATCACCCCTTCTGGTCCTTAAAGAACACAGGGGAGACTTTGTCAAATGTGCTTGGCACAACGGTAAGCACTATACATGCTTGTTGATTGACTGACTGACTGACTGACTGCTTCCACAATGCCTAGATGAAGTATATACTACACCATTCTCTGATCTACCAGCCTAGTCACCCTGTTCAAAAAGAAAATGAAGTGAGTCTGGCATGACCTGTTTCTCATGTAGCCAGCCTGGCTCTTTGTGCTCATCGCTTCCTTTTCTAGATATTCACTAACCATCCCTTTGATAACATGTTCTAGGAATATTCCAGGTAGCAAGTAACAGAGACAGGACTCAAACCTAGGTCTTCTAACTCCTCCCAACCCCAAGTGTTACCCTCTGGTCATAGCCATATGATAAAATGACCCTTGTCTTAGTGTAATTGAAAGTTGTGACATTGTTCTATACATATGAAAAGCTAGAACGTTCAGAAATTCTAAGCTGGGAGAGAGTCTAGGAAAGGATCATTTCATAAAAGAGGTGAGAGTAAAAAGGTGCTCCCAGAGAACACGGGGAATAGATGGAATGTGTGGTTGGGCTACCAAAGGTGTGAAATGTTCCCTGGACTCAGGAAGGCCTAACTCTACGGATGGTGGAGAAGTAATGCCCACTTCATCTTCCTTTAAGCCAGAACCCTGAACACCACTGTTTAGCAAGTGCCTGATATATAGTAAGCACTTCATAAATGCTTATTGGCTGACTGACATTGGTCTTATTGCAAGAAAAACTTTGAAACGGAAAAGCTCACGTTACCTCAGAGATAGAAGGGCTATGAGAACAACTAAGCCAAAAGGCCATCCAGATTCCAGAGGCAGCCATTTGTCCGGCATGTTGTAAAGGGGCTCCTGGCTGTCAGTAGATCTGAGGTCCCTTCCTACTCTGAGAGTCTGTGATTGTGATACATTCTTCAACAAACTCTCCCTTTTCTTTCCACAACTTCCCCAAACACAGGACCCTCTCCTGCTTCTATGCCTTCTTCCTCTGCTCCCAGTGTCTTCTCTCTCTACTTTCGTAGGGAGAACTCACAATTAAAATCCAACTCAAATATCCTCTCCTCAGTTCTTTGATCTAGGTAGTGATCGTCCCCTGGCTCCTGATCTTTCCTAGTCCTTTCTTTTATCCTTCTCATGTAACCCTGTGCACTATAGTAACCTGGACTTCTAGCTTCCCCACCACACCTACAGGAGAGGACAAGTCTTCTGTATCTCCCCTAGAACCTGGCTCAGTGTTCCACATCTGACAGTGATTTAGTAGTCACCAAACTGATGTTTGGGAATTCTTTAGGGGAAAACATGGCTATATTTGGAGAATAGAAAATAGTTTGGTTTGGCTAGGGTCTACAGCAGGCGTGAGGAGCCAGCAGTCTTAAGGCCACATGTGGCCTTCTAGGTCCTTAAGTGCAACTGAATTTGCTCTGTAAAATTTGGATTCAGTCAAAAGGCTGCACTTAAGGACCTAGAAGGCCACATGTGGCCTTAAGGCCTCAGGTTTCCCACCATTGGTCTAGAGGAAGCAGAATGAATAACAGCAGGAGGAAATTCAACTTTGATTCAGTTGCTGACAGCTGGAAAGCTCCAGTTCAGCCACATATGCTTCTAGCAATGCTGTTTGCAGGAATTTCTTCATCTTGACTTCCTGGAGGAAAGGTATCCAGCACAAGCCTTTATATGCAGCAGGTGTTCAAAAAATAAATGAGTGAAAAATTCCCTCTTCTTGCTACTTCCCTATTTTGCCAAATGTAGAACTCAGTGGGGTGGAGTAAGGGAGGAGAAATAAGAGGAAAGGGAGGGGGGCGGAGCGGAGGAAGTGGGTGGTTCTGACTGCCTGCCAGTTGACTCACCATTGACCCCTTCTTGTCCCCTGAGCTAACATCAGTAATAAGTCTGGGCTAGCCGGAATTGAAGACAGAAAACAGCGCTTCTCACGTTGGCGTCTCATTTCTTCCTTTCCTGGAAATGGAGCAAGGAAAAGGACCATGATGCTAGACGCCAAGTAGTTTCAGTTTTGGCTGAGGTGGAAAGCAGCTCACAAAATCTCTCTTTGAAACAAAGCTCAGCCCTTAGGGAGGAGGAGACTTCTACCCCACCCCACATGCACACAGCCATCCCCAGATAGGACAAGGCTGCCAAGGTAAGCTGCGGCAGGGAGCAAAGCAGGGAGGAGAGGAGGTCTGGGGGGAAGGCACCTTAGAAAAAAGCCTGGGGAAGAACCAGCTAGGTGCCTGTAGCCTGCACAACCCCATCCCATAGCATTAAAGAGTGAGCAAGAGTCCGGGGGCCGACATCTCCCTTCCCCATTCCTTCTGGTTCCTATTCTTAGGTATTCCAAGAGATCTAAAAGAAGCTGGATAGGTACGCTGGTGGGATTCCCTAGCACAGTCTATTCTGAGAGAAGGCAGGCAGCATTATCAGTTTCCCTGACTCTGACTTTGACTCTAGGACTTGAGAGAACTGTTTCCTGAGACTTCACCATGTCTTGTTTCTTCTCCATGCCTGTAGTGGGACTGGACTCCGTGGGTTTAGCCTCGGCCTCTTGTCTCTTGGGGGCCGCAAGAATCCCCCTGGTTGTACCTCCCTGGCAATAACATCCAAGGGGTCGTGCTGCCTGAACCTAGCCTGCTGGCCTGGAGATCATGTGGTATTTAAGAATTAGGGCCCCTGAAGGTCCAAGATGAAACCTCTCTAAAGTAAAATCTATTGCTGTTAAGACTCAGGTTAGGGGACAGACATTTTGATCTGCACTAGTTCTGGGGTACCCCAAGTGTGTCACTCATTTTGTTCCCCAAGAGATCAATGATCAAGAAATTTCAGTTTCTCTTCAGAGCTTCAGGCTTTATAGTGCAGGGACCTCAATTCCTCAGGGATTTGTCCCAGTCTCTTGACTTCACATATTACTTTTTCTTGCCAAGGCCATTCAGTTCACTTCCTTTCTCCCCACAGAGCTTGCCCCTTGCTTGCTTCTCTCCTCATCACTTTCTCTTTATTAGCTGGCTCCTTCCCAGCTCTCTACAAACATATTCCAGTCTTGTCCCTCCTTTAAAAAACTCTACTTGCTAGAGCACCAGTCCTGGATTCAGGAAGACCTGAGTTCAAATCCGACTTCAGACACTTGACACTTACTAGCTGTGTGACTCTGGGCAAGTCACTTCACCCCATTGCCTTGCCAAAAAAAAAAAATTAGATGTTGATGACATTTAGAAAATATATATTTAATATTGATACTAGTTTGTTTTCTATGCTTCTTTTAGCCTAATAGAACTTCCTTGTTTATCTTTTTTTTTAGTATATGGAATTTCTATTTTTAATTTTTGTGTTGTCACAAACTAGAATAGCATCCAGTGCTCATGGCTGGGCTATGCAAATATAATAAAAATGACAATACTACCATATATATATATATATATATATATATATATATATATATAGTTTTGATGCTACAAATTATCAAAGGTATGTTTTATTGAACTCCGTAAAGAAATGTTCAAAATCATTTGAAGAAACAAAATATCTAGATTTTAAAGGTAAATGATTAGAAAGGATGAAACTTAACAAGCAGTGTTGGATAAACTATAGGTCTTAAGTTACTACAGTGTTTTGACTAGAAGTAGAGGGGCTAAGTTAGTCAAACAAAGCTATTCTTCCCCCCCCCCAAAAAAAAGGCCAAGACTACAAAGAAAATAATGCTGAGATGGATACATTGACCCAACTGAAAATTTAAGAGGAAATTAGCCGCTAAGAGATGTCAAGATTTTGAATTAGGAGGAGACAAGAAGAGCAATTTTAATTAAAATTAGATCAAGATGTCCAGTTCTAAATTAAAAAAAACAAAACAACTCCACTTGACTCTGAAGTACTCTTTTAAGCTAAAGGTTCTTAACTTGGCATCTATCTCAGGGGTGAAAATGGGTAGGGGGAAAATTATATCTTTATTTTCAATTTGGTTTCCTTTGTAATCTTAGGTATTTTATTTTATGCATTTAAACACATTATTCTGCTAAAGGGGTCCAAAAGCTTCACCAGACTGCCAGAGGTGTCCATGACACAAAAAAAAGTTAAGAACTTTTGCCTTGAACCTTTCTCTTCTATCAGCATCGAGGTGGCAGAGTGGATAGAATGTTGAATCTGAAATTAGGAAAGTCCCCAGTTCAAATCAGACCTCAGATACCTATTTGGCTGGGTGACCTCGGGCAAGTCATTTCACAGTGCCTTCCTCAGTTTCCTCATCTGTCAAATGGGTATAATAAGAGCACCTACCTCCCAAAGTTGTTGTGAGGATCAAATAAGATAGTAATTTTAAAGCACTTAGCCCAGTGCCTGACACTCTGATATATAAGAGCTACATAAATGTTAGCTACTCCTCAATCCCTTGCAGTGCCATGAAAACTGAAGGAGCAGAGAACACACAGAAGGGAGCGGGGAGGTATGACTGCACAGTGGTCAAGAAGGATGAGAACAGAGAGTCATCAGAGTCAGCAAATTAAATGACTTTTGGAACCTCAAAGAGGGAAGTTTCAATTTAGGAGGAGGGCAAACAGCAGATTGCAAGGGGTTGAGGAGTGCAAAGTGAAGAAGTCAAGGGAACAGCTCCAGAAAGCTTTTTCCAGATTTGGCTGAGGAAGGAGAGATAATAACAATAATGATGATGATGATGATGAAAATAACTAAGATTTTTATAGTGCTGATCCAAACACATCACCCCTCAATAAACTCTAGTGATTCCCTAACACTGCCAGTATCAAATACAAAATGCTCTTCTTGGCATCTAAAGCCCTTCCCAACATAGCTCCCGTCTATCTTTCTCATTTTCTTGTCCTTTACTCCCTGCCCTGTACTCTCTGATGGCTCAGGATATTTCCTCTGGCTGTCCTCCATGCCTGGAAGGTTCTCCCTCCTTATCTCCCCATCTTGGCTTTTTAGATTTCAAGTCTTGGCTAAAATTCTACCTTTTCCAGAAAGATTTTTCCTAATCTCTTTTCCTCCTAGTACCTTCCCTCTATTGATTGTTGTATTTATTTATGTGTGTGTGTGTGTGTGTGTGTGTGTGTGTGTGTGTATAAAATAACATAGTTGTTTGCATATTTTCTCTCCCATTCAGTTGTGAACTCTTCAAGGACAGGGGCTGTCTTTTTGTCTTTTTTTTTTTTTTTATCCCTGGTGCTTAGCACAGTGCCTCGAACAAATAGTTGTGTAATACATCTTTTTGACTGACTGACTGGCTGTCTGAGGTCTTACGTGCAAAGCATTAAACTGACTACTCTATCCTTCCAGGAGAGAGGAGAGAGCCTAAGTAGCTTCTGTCCCCTCTTCTCTCTTGCCCTTCCTAAGAGCCATGGCCTCTGCATTTGAGTGGGCTGCCAAGAATGTGGTTCGAGAGCTGAGCAAAAATGGGGAGTTGGTCCCTGTGGACAGCCTCAAGAGCTCCACTCACTTCAATCCCTACTACCTGGTCCGGAAGAAGGCCAGGAGCTCCTTGTTTTGGAGGTCACAGTATGTTTGGCTCAATTTGACTCTCAAGGACATTCTGGATCCCAGCTCCCCAGAACCAGGTACAATCCCCTGGGGAGGAGAGGGGGTAGCCAGCACAATTTGGTGAGAGAAGGAGCTGGGGAAGGCTACTGACATGGATTATGAAGGGGAAATGGGTCCAATAGTTTTGGCCAGAATATGCAACTTTCCTAGGACTGACTGTGTAGGCACATGCTGTCCTATATCGGTGATGTCCAGAACATTCTGTCCAGCCACCCTAAATAGAGGTAGGGGTGAATTGGGGAGGCAATGCAGAGCTATGGAACAAGTCAGAGACTTGGGTTTGAGCCCTGGTTCTTTTACTTACTAGATATATGACTGGCGATGAGTCACTTACCTGCTCTGAGCCTCTGTTTCCTCATCTGTAAAATGGGAATGATAATATTCATACTCCCCATTTCACATGCTGGTTGTACAGAAAGCACTTTGTACATTGTAAAGTGCTATAGAACTTTGAGCTATTGTGACTCAGGAAGTAAACATAAAGTTGGGATCCAGATGCCTTTACCTCCTCCCATGGTGGCCCCTGCTGCACAAGCACATTTAATGCTCATTTTAGCTAAGGATTGGCCTCTCTCTCTCTCCAGAAGTAACCCAGCATGGACCATTCCACTTTAATGATGAGGTGGATGGGATGATGTCTGGCAGTGTGGAGGTGACCGCTTCTGTGCAGGGGAAGATTTCAGGACACACCTCAGTGTCAAACAAAACCGTCCTCGAGGTCAAGACTCTCATTGTGTCCCCTAACACCTGGGACAGCTTACAGAAGGAAAGGTGAGAGGAATGGACAAGACAAAAGCTGAGAGCTCTAGTGACTTCTCTTTGGGGATGGGGGAAGGTGGAGGAGGGAGTGGGAGCAAAGCAAAGTAACCCAGGGGCCACCAGAGAGAAATAGAGAGTCAGAGTTTTCCTTGGATAGTGGTTATGTCCTGTACTGTCTGAGGCCTGGATAACACCCTCTCCCTAGCCTCACAGAGCTCACAGTCTAGTGGGGGATGAGAATAATCCACTTAAACAACAATTCACAATATTATCTAAGTGTACTAGGAAGGTACAAAGTGAGGTCCAAGGAAGAAGGTTCTTCCCATCAGGTGATGTGGGAAGGTTTACTGCAGGAAGGAGCATTTGAGTTTAACTTTAATTGATGGGTAGGAATTTAACAGGTTAAGAGAGTAAGGGAAAACATTTCAAACATTTCAACAAGAGCAAAGAAGGCATGTTCAAGGGGCAGTGGTTTTAAAATATATATTGATATCATTTGTTTATATAGCACCTCCACACCTTAATGTCTTTCCCAGCTAGTAATCCATTGCTTGTGACAAAAAACACAAAATAAAGGGAGAAAATGGGTCAGCAAAACTAGCCAACATGGCAGCTGAGTCTGGCTGCATATACAATACTCCACACCCATAGTCCTCCACCTCTGCAGGAAAGGGAGGAAGGTTCATTTTCTCACCTTTTATTCCTCAAGGACAAGCTCTGTCATTATAATTATTCAGCATTAAGTTTTGGTTTTGATCTTCCCATTTACACCATTGTAGCCACTGTGTATATTCTTTTCCTGCTGGTGTTTACTTCATTTTGCGTCAGTTCATAGAAGTCTTCCCATGTTTCTCTGAATTCTTCAAATTCTTTATTTCTCCTACTCATACATTCAGGTGCCACAGGTTTTGGGTTTTTTTTTTTTTGGCATCTACTTAGTTTCCAGTTCTTGACTACCATAAAAGGTGCCAGTATGAATAAGACTACCTGTCTTAACCTCCTTGGGGCACACATGCCTAGCAGTGGGACCTCCAGGTCAAAGATGTGAACATTGTAGCATCATTCCAAATTGTTTTCCAGAAAGATTGAACCAATTCATGGCTCCATCTCCAGTGTATTAGTGTGCCTCTCTCCATAGCCATTCTAACACTGCTCACGTCTATTATTTCTAATCTTGGCCAGTTTTCTGGTTGTAAGGTAAAACCTCAGGGTTGTTTCGATTTGCCTTTTTGAGGGCAGTTTCAAACAGTCCTATCTGAATGGAATGGAAAGACTGAGGAGTCCTATGAAATAAGGTAGGAAAGGTACGTGGGCCTCAGATTGAAGGAAGGTCTTGAAACATCAGACAGAGGAGTCTGAACTGTATTTAGTAGGCAATAGGGAGTCACTGAAGACTCTTGAGCAGAGTAATGACATGACCAGATTGACAGATGAGGAGGATGAGTCTGGCAGCAATATGAAGACCAGAGTAAAGGAGGGAGAGGATGGAGGAGGCAGCATGGCTTATCTGGAGGCAATTGGGTTAGTTCCTGCAGGTGGTAATTTGGGGCTGTAATAGGGTGGAAGCAGTGGGTATTGAGAGGAGGGGACAGATGTAAAAGGTGATGGAATCACTGGTTAGATGTGAGACATGAGAGAGAGTGGAAAGGCAGCAATAATTCCCAGATTATCAACACAGAAGACTGTGTGAACAGAGTTGTTACAGACAGGAATAGTAAAATCAGGAACAGGATCTGGTTTGCAGTGGCATGAGCTCAGTTTGGGGCTGGTTGAGCTCGAGGCATCAGCAGGACATCTGGGTGGAGATGATCTGTAAGCATCAGAGACACAATGCAGGGGAAAGGGCCCTGGATTTAGACCATGGGTAAGCAGCCTATCTAAGTAGTTTATCAGTTTCTTTATTTCAAGCTAGCAAACAAGGGAGGTAGAGCCAAGATGGCAGAACAAAGGCAGGGACTCATCTGAGCTCTCCCTTAACCCCTTCAAATGCCTTTAAAAAATGACTCTAAACAAATTCTAGAGCAGCAGAGCCCACAAAAAGACAGAGTGAAGCAAATTTCCAGCCACAACAGCCTGGAAAGTCAATAGGAAAGGTCTATTGCACCCTGGTGAGAGAGGAACACAGTCTAGCACAGGCTGTTCTAGCAAACCATGAGCAGGCCTTGGGAGTGACTGAATCAGCAGCAGCAGTTGCCTTCAGCCCACAGACAACTGGTCTTAAGGAGATTAGAGGTATCTTTTTGCTAGCACTGAGGCAGGACTCTGTTGCTTTGCCCATACTCAGATGCAGGTCACAGTCCTGGGTGGCAGCCCCAGGGTAAAGAGAAGCACTAGCATAGCACAGCTTGTGGCAGCAGTGGAACAGGAACCCTCCTCACAGTTCCAGGGCAGAGAAGAGTGTTTGTGGTCACTCACAGACCAGAGCCCAGGCCAGGAGAGGAGTAAACACCTCTCCTTAGATCAGAACACCCTGGAAAAACTGAAAACTTACAGGTCCCAAGAAGAATCTCTGAAAACAGCTGCCCCAAACCCCTGAAGCTTGGGGCAGTTCACCCTCCACCCTGAAAACAGAGTCCTAGCTTAACAAAGACTTAAAAGTCAAGTAATAGGCTGGGAAAATGAGCAAATGACAGAAAAAAACCTCTGACAATAGAAATTTACTTTGGTGACAAGGAAGATCAAAATACACACTCAGAAGAACACAACAAAGTCAAAGCTCCTACAACCAAAGCCTGCAAGAAAAATATGAATTGATCTTAGGTCATGGAGGAGTTCAAAAAGGATTTTGAAAATCAAGTAAGAGAGATACAGAAAAATTGGGAAGAGAAATGAGAGTGATACAAGAGAATCATGAAAAATTAATTAACAGCTTGGTAAAGGAGACACAAAAAAATATGGAAGAAAATTACACCTTAAAAAGCAGACTAGGCCAAATGGTAAAAGAGATCCAAAAAAGCCAATGAGGAGAAGAATGCCTTAAAAAGCAGAATTGGCCAAATGAAAAAGGAGGTCCAAAAGCTCACTGAAGAAAATAATTCCTTAAAAATAAGAATGGAGAAAATGGAAGCTAATGACTTTATGAGAAATCAGGAAATCATAAAACTAAAAAAATGAAAAAATAGAAGGCAATGTGAAATATCTCATTGGAAAAACAGCTGACCTGGAAAATAGATCTAGGAGAAATAATTTTAAAATTATTGGACTCCATGAAAGTCACAATTTTAAAAAAAATAAGCCTAAACATCATCTTTCAAGAAATTATCAAGGAAAACTGCCCTGATATTCTAGAACCAGAGGGTAAAATAGAAATAGAAAGAATCCACCAATCACCTGCTGAAAGAGATTCCAAAATGAAAATTGCCAGGAATATTATAGCCAAATTCCAGAGTTCTGAGGTCAAGGGGAAAATATTGCAAGCAGTCAGAAAGAAACAATTCAAGTATAATTGAGCCACAATAAGGATAACACAGGATTTAGCAGCTTCTACATTAAAAGATCAGAGGGCTTGGAATATGATATTCTAGAGGGCAAAGGAGCTAGGATTACAAACAAGATACCTACCTAGCAAAACTGAGTATAATCCATCAGGAGAAAAAATGAGGTAGAGGAATTTCAGGCATTCTTGAGAAAAGATGTGAGCTAAATAGAAAATTTGACTTTCAAATACGAAACTGAAGAGAAGCATGAAAAGGTCAATGGGAAAGAGAAATCATAAGGTACTTAATAAGTTAAAACTGTTTACATTCCTACAAGGAAAGATGATATTTGTAACTCATAAGACCTTTCTCATTATTAGAGTAGTTAGAAGGAGCATATATAGACAGAGGGCATAGCTGTGAGTTGAATATGAAAGGATGATATTTAAGAAATAAAATTAAGGGGTGAGAGAGGAATGTACTAGGAGAAAGAGAAAGGGAGAGGTAGAATGGGGCAAATTATCTCATAAAAAAGGGAAGAAAAAGCTTTTACAGTGGGGGGGTGAAGAGGAGGGAGGTAAGAGGGAGTCAGTGAACCTTACTCTCATCAGAATTGGCTCAAAGAGGGAATAACATACACACTCAATTGGGTAGAAATTTATCTTACCCTATAGGAAAGTAGGGGGAAGGGGATAAGTGAAGGGGGAATGTTAGAAGGGAGGGTAGATTGAGGGAGATGATAGTTTGAAGCAAAACACTTTTTTAATAAGTTAATTTATATTTTGAATTATCAACAGTCACTTCCATAAGCTTTTAAGTTTTAAATTTTTCTCCCCCTCCCTTCCCACCTCCCTCCCCAAGACAGTGCACAATCTGATATAGTCTATACATATCCATTCCTATTAAACATATTTTCACATTAGTGATGTTGTAAGTAAGAATTAGAACCAATAGGAGGAACCACCAGAAAGAGGAAACAAAACACAACAGAAGAAAAAAAATGGCAAATAGTATGCTTCGATCTGCATTCAAACTCCATAGTTCTTTCTTTGGATGTGGATAGCATTTTCCATCATGAGGCCTTTGGAGATGTCTTAGATCCTTGTATTGTTGAGAAGGGTTAAATCTATCAACATTAGTCATTGCACAATGGCTGTTACTATGTACAACTTTCTCCTGGTTCTGCTCACTTCACTCAGCATCAGACCATAAAAGTCTTTCCAAGTTTTTCTGAAGTCTGCCTGTTCATCATTTCTTACAGCACAATAGTATTCCATTACATTCATATACAACAACTTGTTCAGCCATTCCCCAATTGATGGGCATCCTCTCAATTTCCAATTCTTTATCACCACAAAAAAGCTGCTATAAATATTTTTGTACATGTGTGTCCTTTTCCCATTTTGATGATCTCTTTGGGATATAGCCCTAGAAGTGACGTTGCTGGGTCAATGGGTATGCACATTTTTATAGGCCTTTGGGCATAGTTCCAAATTGCTCTCCAAAATGGTTGAATCATTTCACAAGTCCACCAACAGTGCATTAGTGTTTCAATTTTCTCACATCTTCTCCAACATTTTCCTGTTTTGTCATGTTGGCCAATCTGATAGGTGTGATGTGGTACCTCAGAGTTGTTTTGATTTGCATTTCTCTAATCAATAGTGATTTAGAGCATTTTTTCATATGACTATAGTTGGCTTTAATTTCTTCATCTGAGAACTGGCTGTTCATATCCTTTGACCATTTATCAATTGGGGAATGCCTTGTATTCTTGTAAATTTGACTTAATTCTCTACAGTCAGACTGGTTGTAAAAAAATTTTTTCCCAGTTTTCTACTTTCATTCTAATCTTGGTTGTACTGGCATTGTTTGTTCAAAAACTTTTCAATTTAATGGTATCAAAGTTATCCATTTTGAAGCAAAACACTTTTGAGAAGAGACAGAGTGAAAGGAGAAAGAGAATAGAATAAACTGGAGAGGGAATAAGATGGAGGGAAATACAAGTTAGTGTTTCACAAATTTTGGAAATGTTTTGGATGACTATGCATGTATGATCTATATCTAATTGCTTGTCTTCTCAATGGGGGTGGGGGATGGGGAGGGAGGACAGAAGAGAATTTGGAACTCAAAGTTTTAAAAAATAAAATACTAAATGTATAAAGAGTTGGAAAAAAATAAATACAATAAATCTAGCAAAGGAGCTGACAACCTAGAAGCTACTGCCCTCTCCTGGCTGCTTAGTATAGATTCATTTAAAAAGTATTGCTAGATTTGATATGAGAAGGTACCTCCCTTGGTTCTTTGCAGAGGTTGGAGAGCATAGATGTGGAACATTGCATACCATGTCTGATTTTCTTCAAGATATTGATTGATTTTGCTGAATTGTTTTTCTTCCTCTTTTTGAAAAATCTTTGTTATAATGGATGATATTCTGGAAGTAGGAGGAAGAAGGATCCAGGGAGAAAATCTAGGTGATGTAAAAGCAAAAGCTATCATTGAAAACTCTTTAAAAAAAAAAACTTCTCTGAGGAGGCAGCTAAGTGGTGCAGTTGATGGAGCACTGGCCCTGGAGTCAGGATGGACCTTAGTTCAAATCCATCCTCACACCACTTAACACTTACTAGCTGTGTGACCCTGGGAAAGTCGCTTAACCCAGTTGCCTCATCAAAAACAAAACAAAACTTCTGAGTACTTTTTTTCACTTGCACCTATCCCATTGCACCTCTTATTCTTATTCGTGTGCATGTAGCAAAGGCACTGGCTCTGAAATCAGAGCTCCTGAGTTCCAATCTAGTCTTTATTGCTTATTACCTATATGAAGTTGAACAAGTCACTTAATGTTTCTGGGGCTCAGTTTCCTCATCTGTAAAATGATGAGGTTCAAGTCAAGGACCTCTAAGGTCCCTTCCAGCTCTAAATCTATGATTCTGTGATGAAGTATTAGAGGAATTTGAGGAGGGAAACGTGTTCTGAAGAGACAGGGAAGGCTTCATCCTTGAGGTTTAGGTCTGAAAAGGAGAGCACTTCAGCAGATACAGTTGGGGAAGGGGAGGAAGGTATCCCAAGCCCCTGGGGCAGTAGGAGCAAAGTCAGGAGGCAGGAGAGGGTGCAGAGAGACGTGGGGGTAGAGTTAGTTCAGACACAACATAGAGGACCCAAAAGGGAACAGTGGGAGGTAATACCTGACACAGGTTAGAGCCATCCTAATGGAGGGTCTGGGATCTCAGAGGGGGATCTAGTCAGGTGCTCTGCCTAATTTAGGAGTCCTCTTTATAGCACCCCTAGCCTGTGCATAAAGGCCTGCAGCAAGAGGGAATCAGCTACTTCACCAGGCAACTCATGCCTTTTTTGAGTGGCTCTATTTATTAGGAAATTCTCCTTTACTCTGAGGTGAAATATATTCCCTAGGGACTTCCTTGAGCTGGTCCTATTTCTTCCCTCTGGGGCTAGAAGGGAACAAGTTTGTGCCTTCTGCCCCTTGACAATCTTTCGTATATTTTAAGACATGGATCATCATGTCCCCTATAAACTCTCCAGGCTAAATGACCCCAGTTCCTTGAACTGTTTCTATCCCACTTAATTGTGTTTTTTTTTTTCAAACTCACCATCATCTTGGTGGCCCTTCTTTGGATAGCTCTGCCTTGATGAGATCCCTCCAAAATGTGTTTGACTTCATAGGAGACAGGCCCTTTTGGCACCAGTCACAGCTGTAGGCCTTGCAAACATGTGCACAAACCATCCCCAAAATCCAAACCTCCATATTACACCATACTACATACATATATTTACACCACATTAACTCCCCCAAGGCAGTAGAGCCAAACATGCTCTACCTGGAGATGGCTTTGAGCAAGGTCATAACTGAGAGGGATGGGAGGAGGGAATCCCAAATCCCTTACCTGCTGCCTTCCTTCCTCCTCTCCTACAGGACACTGAAGACACCAGAGCCCTATATCATTCAGGAGCTTCGGAAACGGGGAGAGAACCTCTATGTTGTAACAGAAGCTGTAAAGACCCAGAAAGAGGCTATTCTGAAGAGATCCAGAAATAGGAAAGGCTTTGGGAAGATCATCATTCCTGGAGCCTCATGTGTCCAGGTTAGAACATACTTTGGAGAGAAAGGGGTGGGGAGGGAGGAAGGTCTGAGTGCTCCAGCATCCAGTGACCTTCCAGGCTTAGCCCTATATCCGCAGAGACTCCCAGCAGGCAGCTGGAGACGTGGACTGGGCCTGGAGCCTCTGCAGGTCCATGTCCCTTTCCTGCTGCCTGTTTGGCGTATATGCATTAAAAATAGCAAGTCCTACTGTGGGTAATGGGTGCTTAGTCAGCTCTCAGGGTGTGGATATTCATCAAACAGCACATAATCTAAGAATACTTCAGCTGGGGTTGGGAATGCTGTAGGCCAAGTCTGGAAGCTGCTGCATTCCCTTCCTCATGACTCCAAGAAGTTCCTTTAAATGTGATGAAACTTCCCAGGATTGTCTGATGAGGAAGCACACACACACACACACACACACACACACACACACACACACACACAGTGATTAGAGGTGAGCCAGCCTAGGGTTGAAAAGCTGTGGAGAAATGGCTTAGGGGACACCTGCAAATAACTGAGAGAGGATTGTTGTCTTCAGTCACATCTGCATCTGACAAGACCCAACCCAGTTTGTAGCTCAAAGCCTCTATCCCTCCCTACTATTTCTTCTCCTTCCCTCTCTCCCCACTGCAGAGAACTGGGGGCTGACTCCCACCCAGACTCCATCCTGACTTCTGCTCCCCCCCTCCTCCACTCCCTAATCTTCAGATCCCTGCGTAAGCCTAGCCTTCTCTGAGCACTGGATTTGGAGTCAAAGCACAGGAGTCTAGATTCCATCTGTATGACCTTGGGCAAGTCCCTTCATCTGAGATGGGATTTCCTGAGAATGAGAGTTGGATGAGCTAACCTCTGAGGACTCTTCCAATTCTTGATCTGTGATGCCTGCCCTCTTTCCTTCTCTCCCCAGGGTGAGGGTCAGGGGAGCTTGAACACAGTGAAGACAGTGACTGTCCCTGAGGGCAGTATACTTGCTTTTCAGGTCGCCAAGTTGATCATCCAGGACCACTGGAGTAAGTTGGATCAGCAGGACTGGGGTGGGGAGAATGGAGAGGTTGAGGAAAATCCACCATAAACCACCCTCCTCCAACCAAGGAGTGAGGGAGGTGGGGAGATGGAGGGGTCATTACCATAGTACATGTCCTGGTGACTGGAGAACTCAGCTGCCCAGCTGGTTAGGTAGATGACATCTGCAGAGACCACCCTGTCCCTCTGTGCCCCACACGTATACTCTTAGGTATGAGCACTCACTTCCGGGCTGGAGTAGAAGGATGGGAAAAGGAGTCTAGTCTTCTCCTCGCTGAGTTTTCCAGCTACCCAGAAGAGGGGGCAGGAGAGGCTTTGGAGGCACCAGAGAATAGATATCTTTTTCACTTTTCCTTCTTCCTCTTCTAGTCATCTTTCTTTTTCTGGATCACCATAAACTTCATACCAACTACGGAAAAGAGAAACTACCGTACTTATAGTTTGAGGGTCTCCCATCAACTTGATGAGGTTGTTTCTTCCATAGATGGTGGTCACAGCACCTTAGCCCATAGTCTCCAAGACTTGTCCTGGCCAGAATTCATCCCCCCTGTGGTCAGCCAGGGGGTGAGTCTCTCTGCACAGAGCTGGGCCGGCTCTTGGACAACAGACCCAGGTCTCTACTTGGAGCTTTTCTAGCTTATTCTGGCCCTTAGTACAGCATCTGGTATATAGTTGGTCCTTGATAAATGTTTATTGATTTATCGATTGAAAGTCAAACCAGTATGACCAGACATCTGTTCTACTGGCATCACTTCAAGATCCCTCATTTCCCAATGAGGCATCCCTGAGGATAACTTCAGGAGACAGCATGTGAGGAAGAAAATGCTAAATAAAATGTTGAAATCCAAATTATTTACATTTTTATAAAAGGCAGAAACATGTACAAAATCTTCGTAGTAATTGATTTCCTGCAGCTACTCCCCACAGTGTCTTTCCTGTTCTTACACTCATAAGCTTTTGAGGATATCTGTTTTCATGGACTCACATTTAGTAGACATTTATGAAGCGCCTACTATGTGGCAAATATTGTGTTAAATGCTGAGGATACAAAAAGAGGTAAAAGGTAGTTCCTACCCTCAAGAAGCTTACACTCTAATTGGGTATAAAACACACAAACAAAAACATGCTAAGCAAGCTATGTGAAGGATAACTGAGAAGTAATTAACAGAGTATTCTAATGTCATAACTTTCAGGTCCGGGTTAGGCCAGTTAGTTATTGAGATCCCTTACAACTCTGAAATGTTGTGTCTCTGATTTTGTTCTGCATCACTTGGAGTCTAAATCCAGCATCAGACACAAGTTCTGACCTTATAAGTAACCACTTCCAAGTGACCTTAGGCAAGTCCCTTAACCTCTATGGACCTCAGTTTCCTCAACTATAAAGTGGGGATAATAGCACCTACTTCACAGGGTTCTTGTGAGGATTAAATGAAATGATATTTGTAAAATGCTTAGCACAGTGTCTGGAACGTAGTAGGAGCTTAATAAATGCTTATTCCCTCCCCCCTTGCTTCCTTCCTCTCTTTCCATATTTGTTTGTATTCTTCATATTTGACATTTCTAGTTGCTCAAAAATATTCCATGACAGTGGCATTCTGCAATCTATCCCATCACTTCACAATCTCCCTTGAGGCAATGGGTAGAAACTAAGTAGGAGGAGATAATAATTACCTTATAAGGGAAGGAAAATCTTCCAATCTGTCTCAGACTGACTCATGAAATGGTGAGCTCCCCATCCATCATTCAAGATATTTGAGCAAAGGCTAAATGACCACTAGTCAAAGAGACCATAGATTCCTGCTCAGGCACAATTTGGACTACATGTCCTGTGAAATCCCTTTGAAGTGTGACATTTTTCTTTAGTTTAGTACATTGTTTTCATTTTTTTATGAAGCCCCTTTATTTTTGTATAGACTGGTCTTTTTTTCCCATTTTAATTACAACCTTCTTCCATTCTAAGTCTTCCTCTGATGTGTCAAGCAGTGTGTTGTGGTGGTCCTGGGTTCTCAGCAAAAGTTCTGATGGGTGATTCTGACCTAGAGAAGTTTTGAGTAGGGGTCCCAAGTATGTCTGTCACTTAAGAACCAGTCTAATTAAATTGGGAGGCCCCTCATCACCAGTAGGCTGGCCGCCTAGTTGTGTCCATGATTGTAGGGGGAGTGCCCACCCCAATGAAATCATGGGTCCTTAAAGCACTAAGGGAATTATCAGCCTTAAAGTCCTCCCCTTGGTTTCCTTGTTGGTGAAATGAGGGGGTTGAATTAGTTGATCTCTAAATTTCTCTTCCAACACTAATGATCCTGGCAGTGGAATCCCTAGGTCAAAGGGTATGGATTGGTTTTGCAGCTGTTAAGGAATAGAGCCAAATGGCTTTTTAAAAAGGCTGTATTGATTTATAGCCCCTCCAATAATAGAACCCTGCCCATTTTCCCTCATAGTTGCAATTGCATTAAATTTTATCATTTTTATTCACTTTTTTTTCTTTATCTAGAAGTTCTTCCCTTTCCCGACAAGGACCAGAAAACCTTCTCACCTAAAAGTGAGTGACAAGCTTGGTTATCTTTCTAGCTTCTGAGCCCAGTGAGCCCTTGACAGCCCATCTATGGGACCAGTGTCCAGACAGCTCCTCAAGGACACTCGTAGTTTCCTAGAATTGAAAAACTACTCTTCCCAGTTTTGATTCAACCCAGGGTTCTGCTTAGGTGAGCCCCAGAGAGAACTAAGTATCCTTTCCCTCCATGTGGGACAATGAAATCACTGGAACTAAAATATATACAGGGTGTCCCAAAAGTCTTTTTGTTGCTCTGTTGTTTCAGTCACAGCCAAATCTTAGTGACCCCATTTGGGATTTTCTCAGCCAAGATACTAGAGTTGTTTGCTATTTCCTTCTCCAGCTCATTTTTACAGAAGAAGAAACTGAGGCAAACAGGGTTAAGAGAGCTGCCCTGAAAAGTCTTAGTGCAATTCAAAGATTAATAGTTTTTGAGACACCCTCCATATGTGTGTAGATGTGTGTTTATAAATGTATATTTTCATATGTGTATATATACATGTAAATATACATCTACACATATGTACATAAGATATACATGTGTGTAGATGATATGGGTTGCTAGATAGAATGCTGGGTCTGTAGTCAGGAGGACCTGAGTTAAAATCCATCGTCATTTACTATCTGTGTGGCCCTGGGTAAGTCACTCAACCCTGCTTGGCTCAGTTTCCTTATCTGTGAAATGAGCAGGAGAAGGAAACGGCAAACCACTCCAGTAAACCCCAAATAGGGTCACAAAGAGTCAGGCACAACTGAAAAGACAACTCAACAAAAAAATGTATACACACACACACACACATATTATGTTAAAGTTTGCAAAATATTGTGTGTACGTTACCTAATTGGAACCTCTTGACTGCCCTGTGTGATAGGGAGTCCAAGTGTTGTTAATGACTACAGGTGGGCTCCCTGTCTCTGTGTCCAGCATTCCATTCACTCTGCCCCCCCTGATGGTTATAGAAAGATGAAGGTCTTAGAGGAATATTGAGTCCTACCTGTTTGTCAGGTTGTTCTCTGGTACCTTTCTTCCATCTGTCTTAACAAGATGTCAACCATAACTTACATGTTTTATATTACTTTGTATTTGTCTAATAGAAGATCTCATAATGCACTTGAATCCTCCTGGATTCCTCCTTTTACAGATGAAGAAGCTCCACTCTTGAATTACAGTCAGCAGAGACCTTGGTTCAAATCCCACCTTCCATATACACACCAGCTGTGTGTTGTGGCCACATTGCTGAGGGACCCAGTCTCCTCATCTGTCAAATGGGGATCATGGCACCTGTAGCCCAGTCCTCTTGGGGTCCCTTTGAGGATCAAGTGAGATAATGTATGAGAAGTGCTTTGCAAACTTGAAGCCCTAGCTAGCTAGAGGTCAGCTGTTATTGTTAGGTCTGACAGTGGCCCAACCAATCACCTGCCAGACTGGATGGTAAGAAGCACAGGGATGGGAAGACAAGCTGAGTCAGGGACACCTGCAGAGTGGATTGGATTCTTTGACGTGAAGCTGGACAGTGTTGTTCTGTGCTGTGATTCCTGATGAATCCTGGGGATGGATGGCCTCTGAAGAGTAAAACTGATATTTTCTCTTTTCAGAAATAGTATCTGGAATGTACCAGTCAGGTTTGTGGCTTTTTTGTTTTATGTTCCCTCCTCCTCTGCCTCTCCCAACTGAAACACAGAGATAAAAGCTGCCTGAACTATTCAGAGGCAGGATGCATGGGCAGGCCAGGGTCCACAGGCCAGGGAGGGTCTAAGAGGGAATGACAGGGCCAAGGCCACACTGCTTATGGCTCTCTCACAGCAGCTCCAGTGAGGTGGGTCCTGGCCCCTTCCTAGGGACTGTGCTTATGGAAGGGTTGGAGGCAGAGTACCCTCAGGCTCAGGGGTGACCCTGGCATGGGTAACTAGCCTCAGGTTTCGAGGGAACTTGCGTCAGTGGGACCCCAGGTTCTGTGAAGAGCAGGGTTTCTCACTCTACATGTCAAATGAGATAATATTGTTAAGCACTTCCAAAGCGCCATATAAATGCTAGCTGTTATGATTAATCAGTGAAATGTGGCTACAGATGTATTGAAATATCAAAGAAATCATTGATGTCTGTATCCAAATCATTGGTAAAGATGGTAAGCAAAAAGTTCTTTCTTTGAGAAGTGCTGGATGACTCTTCAAACATGACTCCTTTTTCTATAGGAAGGAAGGAAGTTCATCATTTAACTTACCTATGGTTGAGACTGGGAATAGAGCAGGGGGCTGGACTTCCTTATTGTGATGGAGTGAGATCCCAGACCCCTCCCTGGGTCCCCATAAACTGCGTAAAATTCTTGAGGCCAGAGAATATGGACATCCACCTGGATTGAAGAGGGTACAAAGCAGGAACCCCCTCCAGCAGCCTGCTGAGGCTAAAGGCTTCGCAGGCAGGTACCAGGGATGAAGGGCCTGAGAGTTAGGGTATGATCCCAGCCTTACCTGTCTTGTTTTTTCTAGATTCCTGTGGAAGAACGATAGTCAGCACAGTCTTGGACTTTAATCAACTGCAGGCTGAAGTGAAGAATGAACAAAACCTGCTGACCATGCTGGACAGGAAGTTACGACAGTTTCTGCTTCAGCCTCTCCTGGGGCTCCTCCAGAGTGAGCAGGATCTGCTAGACTTAGAAAACATGGTGAGAGTATGGAAGTGAGGGCAATGGAGAATCACAAGAGTGGGGGTCGGTGGGAGGGTAGGAGAGGGCAGAAGGAAAGAGTAGGGTAGGGACAACACTGGATTTTGAGTTAGAGTACCTGGCTTCCTATCAGACTATTCTTTTTAACAACTTGTGTCACCTGGGGGAAGTCAGCACAGTTCTCTGTGCCTCAGTTTCCTCATCTCTAAAATAAGGGACTGGACTAAATGAATGCCAAGGACCCTTCCAAATCTAGATCCTCTGACCCTGCAGGTTGAGGGACTCCCTGAGAAGTTCAGGAGTTGGAGGAGGGACCATGTTCCAAGGATTGTAGATGAGAAAGATGGCTGAGATGCAGGGACAGGCAGCAGGTGCATTACTAGGTGGTGATTGCTGGGCTGTTTTAGACAGTTGGGTAGTGAACTGAGGCAAGATCTAATTAATGAAATAAGTCAAGGCTTGTAATTATGTGAGGGGAAAGAACTGAATCATGTCTGAGTAGAACAACTTGTGCCTACAGAAACTCCCTGAAACCCATTCACCAAGTAGGGTTTTAAAAAAAATACTAATAATCATTTTTATTCTTAATCATTACATTTCATTATTAAAATGTACAGGGCAGCTAGGTTGTGCAGTGGATGGTGTGCCCAGCCTAAAGTCAGGAAGACATCTTCCTGAATTCTAATCTGGCCTCACGCACTTACCAGCTGTGTGACCCTGGACAAATCTCTTAACCCTGTTTGCCTCAGTTTCCTCATCTGTAAAATGAGCTTGAGAGAAATATGGCTAACTCCTTTGCCAAGAAAACCCAAATGTGGTCACAGAATCAGACACGACTATAATGACTGAACAGCAATTAAAATGTATAGTTGACACACAAATAGTGAAATAAGAATTTTTACATATATGTAAAAATATTTGCAGGAATACAATCCTTGCCATTTGTGAAAAATACAAATTAAAAACAAAAAAAACTTCTCTAAAATCTAGTTAGTGTTGAAGTTGAAAGGAGAGAAAGAAACTTGGAAAAAAAACAAAGTATTCCCATTTTATTCTTCCCAAATCTGTAACACATCACATGACTCAGGGTTTTCAGTACAGCTTGTAAGGTCCCAAAACTAAGAATTTTCTTCTGGTTTGAAATAATTCCACTAAAGACTGTATTGGTGAACCATAAATACACTACGTTTCTAAGATGCTGTTCTGGTAGATAGTCAGCCTTAACCTCATAGACTTCTGTCTTCTGAGAGGTTTCTAGCTCTGCTCCTATGGTAATATGCTCAGCTTCTTTCCCTAAGTGTCCTGTTGGTCACAAGGCAAAAGTACATCGTCAGACCTCATAGAACTCTCTGGATCTTGTCGATAATAACAGCACCTATCTCCCAGGGATGTTTTGAGGCTCAAATCTAATTGTTTTAGGAAGCTCTCTGAGCCCTGTATATATATATATATGTCAGCTATTATTCTTTTTGTTTGGGGGCCTGGGATATCACCAATAGAAGGACCTTTTGGGAGGGGACCTCCCTAGTCCAATGCAAACCAGCTCATCAACTAGAGTCTTAGAACACTGCATGAGACACTGAAAGGGTAAGTGATTTACCCAGGGTCACACAGCCAGAATTATTCATCTTGACTTGGACCCAGGTCATCCTGCTGAGGCTGGCTGTCCAGCTACTGTACTTTGTAGCCTCTCATTATTGTTGGTGGTGGTAGTATCAAATATTATTGTTACTATTATGATTTCTTGGTATTAATAATAATAATGAAAGGGATGATAATATTTGAACTATCAGCCTCACAGGACTGTTGCCAGCAAAGTATTGGTAAACCCTGGGAACTGTTTCTCCTCTGCTTTTCTTTTTACAAAATCCTCATCTATAGATATTTGGGACAAGTTCGATTTCATTCTAATGTAATACCCCCTCCGAACAATCTTACCAGAGAGTAGGCGACCCGCTCAGGTCTAGGGGTTACCCTGTGAGTCTACACTCCTTAAATTATCAGCCATCCTACCTCCCGTCCAGCTGAGCCTTAAGAGTTAGCCAGTAGCCACAATTAGCTCAAAGCAAAGGAATTAAGATAACATAATAAAAACAGTAACTACAGAAATCCCCTCCCCCACAAACCCATGCCAAGCTTTCCCACAAGGAGGCATGGTGTCTGTGGGAGGAGTGGGTGAGTATTTTGGGTACAATAAAAGGAAGGCACACATGTAGGAAACACATGTCGCCATTTATAAGAACAACAACTCCCATTTATAGAGCACTTTAAGATTTGCAGCACATTTTACAAATATTTTGATTTCTTTCGATCCTCACAACGTCCATGGGAGGTGGGTACTATTACAATCTCCATTTTACAGATGGGAAAACTTAGACAGACAGAGATTAGTGATTTCCCCAGGGTCACAGCTAATCTGTATCTGAGGCTGGATTTGAATTTAGGTCTTTCTGACTCGTTCTATTCCCAGGATTGACCTATATCCCTTTTCCTGGCTCTGATTTCTTCAGGTTAACACAGTGCTTCCTATCATTCTTCTTTCTTCTTTTTCTTAGAGGGGGGCCTTTGGATATCTGAATTATCTGTGTCTGAACCCTTTAATGCTATCCTTTATCTTAAGCTTACTTACATCTAATTCAATTAAGCAAACATTTATTGAGCAACTGCTGTGTGCAGAGTACTGTACTCAGTGGTAGAAAAGGTACAAAAATTAAATAAGAATTAATTAATTAATTAATAATTAAATAAGGAAAGCTCCTCATGCAGGTTACCATACATGCTATGTAGTGACATACAGATACCATGATGACAAAACTTGAATAGTTTAAGAAAAAGGATCCATGAAAACAGCCATACATGGATTCTCTCTACTGACAGAATACAGAACCTTCACCACCCAGTTAACAGTTTCACAAGTTGTTGGGGCCCCCAAAATTCTTCAAGAGTTTCCAAACTGATTATGATGCTCTCTGAATTAAGCTACGCTTCTCCTTTGGCAAATGGTACCAGTTGGCCACCAGACCTGTACTCCAAGCTTTTCCAACCTGTGAGGGACAACTAGACCTGATTGCTAGCTAAGCCTCAGAAGCCCTCCTCAATAACCCAGCAAGGTGGCACAGTAGATAGAGAGATGGACTTGGAGTCGGAAAGGTCTGAGTTCAGATCTTGCCTCAGACACTCGTATGTGATCTTTATCAGCCACAGGTTCCTCATCCATAAAATGGAGATAATAACAGTAGCACTGATCTCATAGGCTGATTGAGAAGAAAAATGAGATAATACTTGTAAAGCACTTTGCAAAACTTAAAGTGTGAGCTATTATCACCATTATTATCACAATGAGACCTCAGAGGATATCAGTGGAGAATACATGACTAATAGTACTGTGAAGGGAATTATGATTTTCATAATAATTGATATGATATGTGTAATAAATATCCACTAATATCCACAGATCCAAATTGCAAATTTGGTTTCTTCTTCTTTGTTTGTACTACTTTCCTCTTTTATTTACAATTCCTCCTTCTTTATATCACTACAGAGATTTGTGATAAGACTAGATGTGGACTTCTTTCTTCCTCACCTCTGGAAACTTCCCTGGGTTTCCTGTCCCTTCTGGGAGATGATGGAGAGCCTGTAGCTTTGCTTAATTGGCCTTTGTTTTAAAGTGGATGGATGCAGATCCCTTACTCAGGGTCTCCTGTGGACTAAGGAGGAAGGATGGAGATAGAACCATCTCCCCATGTTTCCCAAACACTCTTCTAGTCCAACTCTTTTGTCCTTCTTAGGGAGCCGTCCAAACCCTGTGGCTCCTCATTCAGTGACTGGAGCCTCCGTGTTCTTCTACTTCCAATGCCAATTCCACAATAACTAGACTGGGCCTGTTAATGTCCCATCATTGGTCAGTCCTGTCATTGTGTTCAGGGACACTAAAAGAGATATGTCAAAATGACTCCATTGGCTCTTGGCAGAATCTGTCCTTATGAAGCCTGACATTTGCCAAAGAGATGTTCAATTGCTTAGCAGTATCCAAAAACAACTGTTTGACTCACTTTTTTCCTGGTGAGATGCCTTCCTTTTCTATTGAGTTATCTTGATTTCAAGTTCAAATTTCCATCCACAGTTCACTCTTTCATGCACAGGATCTAGAAACGTATTACTTCATTTGAGAGGATGGTGCAGTGGAGAGTCCTGGAGCAGTAGTCCAAGAGCCTGGGGTTGAGCCCTAGCTTTTCCATTAGGTCATTGTGTGCCATCTTTTCTTCTCTGGGCCTCAGTTTCCTTCTTTGTAAAATGAAGTAGTTGGACTAGATGATCGCTTTGTTCCTTACCGGTTTTTAGTGATTTTTGTCATCAGACTTTCTCCCAACATGAAGGATCCTGTACTCCTTGAGGTATTTTGTCACTCTCTTGACTTATAGCTCTAGCCCTGGAAATAGATACATAGTAACTCCCAAAGATACTGAGCCTGATACAACCCATTAAAATCAGGCAGTTCACATTATCAAATTAAATTTTATTAAAAAGAGATAAACAAATTCTTGTGTAACGCCCTTTGTGGATTACTTCCCCAGCTTGTGCTCATATTTGAGAGTTGCTTGTGTCCCCTTGGGTGGCTGCTACCTCAGGTTCTACGGTTAAACTTGCGGGAATAAACTACTAACTCTGTAGCTCACAAGGCCCTACTGGTATGCTTCCCATTTATAATCAGCCAGTAGGCGCAATCATCTTATAGCAGAGGTATTTACTCAGATACTCAAAGGAACCTGCAAGGGCATAGCAAGAAGAGTAGGTACAAAACATTCCCCAACTGAATCTGAGGAGCCATCTCCGACAGATACACAAAGTATCCATGACAAGAGTGGACTCAGACGTAGAGCAGAATGACAGTAAAGCACATGTAGAATACACAAAACTCCAGCTACTGTAGGGCCTGTAGGCCTTTCATCACTTCAGAGCATCTTCCCATAGACCCCCTTGGGTGTAGCATCTCTGTTGGGTGGCTTGCTAAGCTGAGTTCCTAGGGTCTGCTCCTCTCCATAATCTGCCTGTCTTCTCCGCCGCTAAGGGCCATGCTCCTTGAAGATGCTTCCTGCCTTGGGTGACTGTCTCTCTATATCCATGTTGGTCTGAAGTGTTCTAGTAGCTCCTATTCAGTGCTATGTAACGTAGAGGGGAGGAAAGGAAATACCTTTTTCACACTTGCAGGGGGCTCCTCCATAGGCAGCTCCCTATTTACAAAAGCATCCAACTCAAACGGCTAAAATCATCCAAAACTCAGCTACTAAAAACCTCAAAAACATGTTTGTTCCATCCTGACTCGGTCAGAGATGTATTTGAACATTAAAGGGACCAGAGTGTAAAGAGACATCTTTTATAGTTAGTTTAACATCTCATTAATGTGAGTGATTATTCTGGGCCTTCTGTGATAAAATTGATTGACCTGGGCGCAAGAGGAGCCATGAAACCACATTTCCCTCCCCTCCAATTTCAGAGATATGTATAAATTCCCAGAGCCACAGTTTAGAGTAGTTAGCCTCCTCTGAGGTCCCACACATCTTGTCTTGGTCCTGCTACTTGGGAGGTGATCTCTCTATCTCTCTCTGACTCTCTCACTTTGTGGTATAAGTCAGTTGACCAGGAGTCCTTTGTTCAGTCACCCTTATGGTAACCTGGTGCCCCAATTTCATAATTTTTCAGGCCAACCCAGGACAAGCTTATAGAGTTTTTCAATCTTTGGATGCTTTCCTCTCTAGTATAAAAGGAAGACAAAAAATAAATCCTCAAGGTTTCTTGTCCCCTGGTTTCTACCACTGTCTCCCTATAGGCTCGTCCCTTTCTTTGCTCTCTTTAGTCTCCCACCAACCAGCCCTGCCTATCACTATGCATATTCCTTGGGCTCAATCTCTTTATTTTCCTGAGGGAAAGGGAAGACGAAGGGGAAATATCCCCACACTGGCTATATATGAATCCACCCGTCTCCTCCCACTTTTCACTTAGAGAGTGACTCCTTCCAGGGTTTGCCCCAGAGCTCAGGATCTCTCCCATATGTACTGCTCTCAGGTTTTCCCAGGCAACACTATCATTTGGGCAGGGCAAGCCTGGCTACTAGCCCAAGGGGCTGGTTTGGGCAGGAAGCTGTCCCTCTCACCATTCACCTTCCTTCTCATCTCTCTTCTACAGCTAGAACAGAGTTTATACACTGGGGTACCCCCACAGAAGGCAAAGGGCATGACAGGTGATATCCTGAGTAACCTGCAAGACCAGAATGGACAACTTGTGGAGGAACTAGCAGGGGCATTCCTCTATCTCCTTGGAGCTCTGAATGGTAAGAAAGATTGTTGGACCAGAGAATGGGGGTGGGGGAGGAAAAGTAGACCAGGGATACTAACATTCAGAAAACAACACCCTTCCAGCTCTGTATGAGCTTGGGATTCTAGATTAAGCTTTTCTTTTCAAAACAACAAAAAACCCTCAAATCCTCTGTGCATTTTTATCCTTACATTGTCCCTATAAGCTGGAAAGGAGAGGGGTAATCACCTCCCTCTTTCATTGATGGAGAAGCAAATGCCCAAAGGGGAAATGACTTGCGCAAAGCCATACACCTACACACTGCCTTGGCAGAGCCCCTTCCTGTGATTCCCAGCCAGCCATCTCTCCTTCATATGGCACTGACTCCGGTATGAAAGTCCATCATCAATGAGAAGAAAGTTGCTCTCTCTTCTTAAATCCTTCCTTCCCATATTCCCCAAGAACAGGAAACATTAGGACCCCATCCTGACTGGGTATGTGCTACAGTATTCCTCAGTAGTTCACAGCTCTTTCTCATTGATCCTACATAGTTCCTCATCAGCTCCCATGGATTTAATTCACACTTTCAGATCTGCATATGTAGTCAGTGTCTCACCCCTGAGCTCCAACCCCCCATCACCAACTTCCTATTAGACATCTTGAACTGGATAACCATAAATATCTCAAACTCATTACATCAAAATCTGAACTCCTGTTTCCCCCAAAAACCCACTCCCTCTTCCTAATTTCCCTATTTCTCAAGGACACCACTATATTTCTAGTCATCTAGGTTTCTAACCTTGGGGTCACCCCTGAGTCTTCCCTCTCCTGCTTCCCCCATATTAAACATGGTCCTACCACGTCATTCCCTCTTGATGTCTCTGATATCTCACTTTTCCAATCCATCCTACACACAGTTTCCAAATGTTTTTCCTAAAGTAAACATCTGACTGTGTCAGTCCCTACTCAGTAAATTCCACTAGCTTCCTATAACTTCTATAATCAAATATGTCTTGTGTTTGACATTCAAAACTCTTCACTACCTGGCTCCAACTTATCTTTTAAGCATTATTGCACATTATTCCCCTTTACACACTCTACAATCCAGCCAAACTGGCTTTCTTACTGTTCTTCAAACATGTCATTCCATCTCTCATCTCTCTGTTTTTATGTTGGCTGTTCCCCATACTTGGAAGTCATCCCCTTCACACCTTCACTTCTTAGAATCCTTAGTGTCCCCAAAGACCAAGTTGAAGGACCATCTTCTATATGAAGCCATTCTTGATCCTCACAATTGGAAACATTACCATGTTTCCCCATCCCAGTCCTTTCTATTCCTTATAGCTTGTAGGTACCTATAAATGTGCATATTATCTTCCCACTCTCCACCAACCCCATTAGGATGTGAGCTCCTTTAGGGCAGGTATTTTTTTGCTTTTGTCTTTGTATGCCTAATACCCAGCAGAGTTCCTGGCATAGTCATTGATTAATGCATGTTTATTGATTGATACCCTAGGTTCTTCACTAGTACTGTCTCTTCAATGCCTGGTGTGAGCTATTCTGTAGGATTTCACACAACTAGGCTGAGGGGGTCCACTACAAATTTATATTATTTAATCTCAAATGGGAGGCATCTAGGTGACTTTGTGGATAGAGTGCTGGGCCTGGAGTCAAGAAGACCTGAATTCAAATCCAGCCTCACATACTAATTAGCTGCATGATCATGGTCAGGTCACTTAGCCTCTGTTTGCCTTAGTCCACTGGAGAAGAAAATGGCAAACCACTCCAATATCTTTGCCAAGAAAACCCCACAGAGTGTCATGAAAAGTTGGACATGACTAAATGACTAAGCAATTATAATCCCAAATGGGCCCTCACTGCTGCAAGGCAATCCTTTTACTCTTCCATAGCTGGCTCTTTCATTTACCACAGTGACTATTTCAAACCATCTCTCTTCCAGCCTTCCACACTATTGCCTACCCCCTTCCTCTCCAAGAAGGACCTTTCCTTATGTTTCTTATAATTCACTACAAAATTAGGGGCAATTTTTCATTTTTCTCTTCTCCTCTCTTCTATATCTCAAGACCACTTCACATCATTTACCATTTTTTCTTGCTATTCTCCATTCTCTGATGAAGATCAAGCCCTTTTCCTTCGCAGGACCAACCTTTATATTTGTGGATGATATCTCTCCCTGTCTCCTTTGGCAGAATGTACGTATAATCATCCCTTTTCTCCTTCTAATTTTCAATCTCTCTTTATCTATCCAGATTCCTTCCCTTCTGCCTGTAAGCACACTCAGATCTTCCCCATTTCTTGAAATCTCCACTATCCTCATCCAGCTGTAAGCCTGTGTCTCTCTTCTGTCATAGTCGAACAGCTTGGAAAAGCTGTCACCATACATTCATGCTTCACTTTCTCATTCCCTTGCACTTTGGCTTCCACACTCATCACTCACCTGAAACAGTTCTGTCCAAAGTTACCAATGATCTCTTAGTTGCCTAACCTAGTGATGTTTTCTCAGATCTCATCCTAAACCTTTGCAGCATTTGGCAATATTGACCACCATCTTCTGCTACATATATTTTCTCTGAGTTTTCATGAAATTGCTATGTCTTGTTTCTTCCCCTGCCCATGTAGCCACTCTTCAGTCTCTTTTACTAGATCATCATCCGTGCCAAACCTTAACCATGGACGTACTCCACAGCTCTGGCTTTGGCCCTCTTCTCTCTCTATACCCTCACTCAGTGATCTCATCGCTTCCTTTTGGTTCAGCTCTTGCCAATGACTCCCACATCCCTATATCCGATCTTAGCCTGGAATTTCTCACTGGACAATCAAATAGTAGATAAAGGCTTACTCTGTACCAGTTACTGTGCTAAACCCCAAGGATACAAAAAGAGGCAGAAGACAGCCCAGGCACATTCTAGGAGAGGAATCTGGGAAGATGGAAGGAAAGGTCAGAAGAATCCAACCTCTCCAGATCTCCCCGACAAACAAGACAAAATAACACTTCACGGCAGACCTAGATGGGGAGAAACAAGAGTTTGGGCTGAACGGTCGTCATCCTGGGACAGCTGGGAGAAGATCCAAAGAAAAACCCCATGTTGGAGGTTTTGTCTCTTTGAAGGGTAAACCCTTCTACACTAGTTCCCCTGAAACAGCAAGCGGCAAGCTCTGGGTTTGGGAGGCAGCCTCAGCCTCAGCCACAGGAACTTTCACTTTCCAGACAGTGTCAGGAATCCAGGTCTGAGACAGATAGTTAACAACTTGTCAGACTTTCAGGATTTTGTTTTTTAAAAAAATTCTGAACTTAAGAGAAGATTTGATATGAAAGATCCAAGAGAAGTATAAGGCACATATCAAAGACTAATTACAAGGGACTCAGTGAGGACAGACTTTTGACTTTTTATATGAGAAAATGTAAAATATGTGTCTGAGATTGTTGTTAGTAATTGGGTAGTTCAAAAGAAAGATTGGGGTAGACCTGAATGTGATATGATTCTAGAAAATAAAACCATTTCGGGAAAAAGGTAAAAGGAGTAATTATCTTTTACAAATGAGTTGTGAGAGGAAGAACTGACACAGAGGAATTAGATGGGAGAGGAGGGATCTTGGTTCCGGAACCCTACTTTCATCAAGAATAAAGTCAAGAGGGAACAATACATAAAAATTTAGAAGGGTATAAAAGTCTTCTAAATTTAGAAAGAAATAAAAGCCTAAGGGGATAGAGAGGGGGGAGAGGGTAAGGGAGGGATTTTTAGAAGGGAGAATGAGTTAACAGGATAAGAGGGGGATACAGAAGGGTGTTTAGATTAATGGGAATGGGAAGATTAAGGGAGGGATCCTGGGAGGGGGGATGTAGGTTAAGTAGTAGGAGGGCAAGGTAGCAGATAGAAGTAAAGTAGAGGAGTTAGGAGAGACAGAAAATAAGAGACACACAAATATAAACATCAGGAGTAGAATGTATTAGGGGGAAAAAGTAGTAATCATGATCTTAGACAAAGTTAAGGCCAAAGTAGATTTAATCAAAAGAGAAAACTAGGGAAACTACAATATATTTCAGTCATATTAATCAATATTGTTTTAGACTATTTAAAATAGCTAGACAGTATAAGATTGGAATATTGCTGTGGCATGGGAAATGATGAGTTGGTGGACTTAGAAAAATATTGAACTTATGAAGAAAGAGGTTATCCACCCTCAGAGAAACAGGGCAAATAAGTACAGTACAGTCTTATATAAATACATGTGAATGTATTTTACATATAAATGTGATTATAGATATCAAAGTATATGTATGTGTATGTATGTGTATATGTATGTATATATATCTGTGTGTATCAGTATATATGTATATACATACATATATTATACATATGTGTATGTGTATATGTGTGTGTATACATACACACACACACACATATATATATGTATATACATATATACTGATACACACAGATATATATACATACATATATATGTGTGTGTGTGTATGTATGTATGTATACACACACATATATACATACACATATGTATAATATATGTATGTATATACATATATACTGATACACACAGATATATATACATACATATATATGTGTGTGTGTGTGTATGTATGTATACACACACATATATACATACACATATGTATAATATATGTATGTATATACATATATACTGATACACACAGATATATACATACATATATTATACATATGTGTATGTGTATATGTGTGTGTATACATACATATATTATACATATGTGTATGTGTATATGTGTGTGTATACATACATACACACACACACACACACACATATATATATATATATGTATACATACACACACACACATCTATCCTTAATCGTAGCATTTGGGGTGGGGGGAGAAGGGGGAAGAAAAGAACAGAGTAAAAAGTGCACAGCAGAGAGTAAAGAAAACTTAGAAGGAAACAAAGGAAAAATGGACAGCTGTGAACACAATGCATAGTATTTATTATATAGACTTTCTTTAAATGGAGATTTATTGTGGTGCAATTTGAATCCTCTCTTATGTTCTACTATGTACATAGCAATGCTTTTTTCTTTTCTTATTTTGTATTTGTTTTAATATTTCAGTTTAGAATATGTTTCTTTTTCTTTTCTTACTGTGCCCTTAAGTTTTAGTATTTAAGTTTAAAATTTTTAAAAATTGGGAAAAAAGGAGCTCACAATCTAACGGGGGAGACAACAAGCAAACCAATATGCACAAACAAGCTGTAATTCACAGAGAGAAAGCGTTCGAGTTAAGAGGGGTCTGGAAAGGCGTCCTGTAGAAGATGGGGGTTTTAGTTTGAACTTCAGAGGAGCCAGGGAAGGGGGTAGGTGGAGATGAGAAAGGACAATGTTCCAAGCATGAGGGAAAGCCAGAGGAAATACCCAGAGCCAAGAGATGGAGTGTCTTATGTAGGGCAACGAGGCCAGTGCCACTGGACCAAAGAGTATTAAGAGTAAGAAGACAGAAAGGCAGGGGAGAAGATCGGTTATGAAGGGCTTTGAATGCCAAAGAAAGGATTTTATATTTGATCCTGGAGGTGACCGGGAGCCACTGGAGATTATTGAGCAGGAAAGTGAATGGTGGTTTGAATGGAGATCACTGCTGAATGGAGACTGGATGGGAGCGGGGAGAGACTTGAGGCAGGCAGACCCACCAGCTGCTCTTGCAGGAGTCCAAGACTGAGGCAACGAGGGTCTGTATGAGAGTGATGGCAGTAACAGAGGAGAGGACAGTAGATATTTGACAGGTATTATAAAGATGATAGCATGTGGACATCAGAGATTCATGATAACCCAAACATAGAATCCAAGGTCTTTATCTCCAAACCCATCCTTCTTCCAAACTTTGTTATTTTTTTTTTTTTTAGGGATACCACCATCCTTCTAGAATCCAAGTTCAGGGGCAGCTAGGTGGCGCAGTGGATAGAACACCAGCCCTGAATTCAGGAGGTCCTGAGTTCAAGTCTGACCTCAGACATATAACACCTACTAGCTGTGTGACCCTGGGCAAGTCAGTTAACCCCACTGTGTTGCCAAAAAACCGAAACAAAACAAAACAAAAAAAAAAGGAAAAGAAATAGAATCCAGATTTAAAAACCTGAAAATCACCCTCCATTCATCCTTCACCTACTTTATCTAAACAGTTCTCAAGTCTTGTTAATTCTTCCTCTCTGCTATCTATCCCCTTCTCACTACTCCTGCAGCCACCACCCTTGTTTAGGCCCTCAGCACTATTATAATATCCCCTTAATTGATTTTCCTACATCAGGTCTCTCCCCTAATACATCCTCCCCATGAATGCCAAAGGAATTGTCCTAAAAAGCAGGTCTAACCATGTCATTTCCCTGCAAAAGAAATTCTAGCAGCTCCAGTCTCTCAGCATCATCATTGTCATTATCATCACCATTATTTAGCGTTTATATAGCTTCTACCATGTGCCAGATATTTTACAAATATTGTCTCATTTGATCCTAACAACAACCCTGGGGGGGGTAGGTGCTATTGCTATCCCCATTTTACGATTGAGGAAACTGAGGCAAAAACTGAGGCCGAAGGCCACATGGTTAGTAAGTGACTGAGGCTGGATTTGAACTGAGCTCTTCCTGACTCCAGGACCAGTGTTCTATGTACTGCACCACCTACCTGCCCTTTAAACTCCTACCTTTAAGCATTTTAAAGCCCTTTGACACCTGCCTTCAGTGGATCTTTCCAGGCTCATTATACATTATTGCTCTGGTTCTCACACTATATTCTTGCTGTTCCTTGTATACAGCATTTCTTCTCCTCTCTCCATGCTTTTGCAAAGCCTAGAAAGCACCCACCTCCTCAACTCGTCTTAGAATCCCTAGCTCCCTCATTCCCCACAGCAGTTTGTCCACCTGCAAAAGACTTTGTATTTACCTTCTTTGTCCTCTGTGTGTGGACTTACCTGTGTGTGTGTGTGTGCGTGTGTGTGTGTGTAAACGCATACGAGCACCCCACACGTGCTTTCAAGTATATGCTCACACAATATAAGCTACTTGAGAGAAGAAACCATTCCCTTTTGGTTGTTCCAGCACCTAGCAGAGTCTAGCCTTTGATAAGGCATTTAGGAAAGATGTAATTGATTGATTGACTGATTGATTTGTCCCCAGCCCTGAGTGACATCCAACATCAGCTCCTGATCCAGTTGCTACAGAAAAAGGAACCGATCCTGTCCCAGGAGGCAGAACTGGTAAGAAAAGCTGCTTCCTTCCCAGAAGTAAGCTGGGCAGCCTTGGAACGGGCAGTCTGGAGAATGAGTAAGAAATGGGGGAGGGGGAGCAATCTAGAATGGGGCAGCTTCAGTTATGTGGATGACCTGCCCCCTTCTCTGCCCTGCTGCCCAGAACTCAATGGGATGAGTTCTGACCTCAGAGGGTTTCCTGCCTGTCACGCAGCTGCCTCAAGGGTCTGCTCTAGCACTTCTCTCAGGACCCTGGTTCTCAGAACAACTAGAAAGCATCCCGTGCTCTTCCCCAGAGAGCCTGGGTTCACTCTGCTCCTGTTTCCCATAGGTGAAGGCAATTCTGAAGGAGAACTTCAATCAAACCAAGAAGAGGCCTTTCTCCCTTCCTTCAGAGCTGCTGTCCTTTGTCCGGGGCCAGGACGAGGACTCAATCCTGACATGTGGCCTGTTGGAAGAGTGTGGGCTGTGGCTCTCAGGAGATGAACCCCAATTTACCTGGCACCCCAGTGCTGTGCACTCACTTTGTGCACTGTATGGGAGTCTGGTGATGCTGCAGGCTCTCACTGAGGCCTGATGACCTAGCACCCACTCTCCCCACCCATTTGATACCTCCTCCCCCTATGTCAGTCCCAGGCGCAGTGGATTAGGGGACAGCCCTATTTCACATCACAGGATCAGGACATTTGTGCGTTGGGCCTTGCCCTGCTGCTGCACTAAAAAGAAATCTCCACTGTGATGTACTAGACCAGTGGTCATTCAGCCTCTGCTTGAAGACCCCATTGCAGGGAAACACACTGCCTCTCTTTTTCTTTTCAGGCAATTGGGGTTAAGTGACTTGCCCAATTTTTGGTCTCAGGTCGAATTTGAACTCAGGTCCTCCTGACTTCAGGGCCGGTGCTCTATCCCCTGCGTCACCTAGCTGACCCTAACCCATTACCTCTCAAGGCAACTCATTCCCCTTTTGGACAGATTTTTTTTTGTTAGGAAGTTTTTTCCTAACATCAAGCCTTCATTTGCCTGCTTGCAGCCTCTGTCCACGGCTCCTCGTTCTGCCCTCTCAGGTCAACAGAATAAGTCCATTCCTGCTCTGCAGCCCTTTAAATATTGTACACAGCTAGCAGGTCGCCCCTGTGTCTTTTCATATCCACAGCTCCTTCAGGTGGTCCTCATGTGACATAAACTCAAGGCCTTTTACCCATATGGTTGCTCTCCTCTGGATGTTGTCTAGTTTATCAGTGCTCTTAAACTGTGGTGCTCAGGCCAAGTGAAATGTGACTAGGCCCAAGGTGGAACTGTCACCTGCCTCTTCCTGGAAGCCATACCTCTCATGATGCAGCCCAAGATGGCCTTAGCTTTTTGAATTGTCACATCGCAGTGCTGACTCATTGAACTTGCAGTCCATTAAAACCTCCTGATCAGTTTTTAGACTCACTGCTGTGTAACGATGTCTTGATAACTCATTGGGTCATTAGCTTCCATATGGCCAACTCTAATTTTTACATTCTTTTCTTTAGTATGGTTCTGTACCAATTTTTCCAAGCTATTCTCTTTTCATACCTTTCTTTCCCTAACTATGGCTTCTTTTCCTATTTTTGTCCTCTGTTGCTCTCATTTGGTTTTTAAATTTATTTTTTACCTCTTTTAAAAAAAACCTTTAGGAATTCATGTCAGACCTGTGTTCAAATTACATTTTTCTTTGAGGCTTTCTTGTAGATATTTTCAAGTCATTCTCTTCTGCCTTTGTATAGAGCTTCCCTGTCTTCATAATAGTTCTTTATGGCGGGATTCTTTTTTTGAGTTTGTTCATTCCGATAGATTGTAAGCTCCTTGAGGGCAGGGACTGTCTTTTTTTGTATCTCCATTGCTAAGCACAGTGCATATTACATAATAGCTGCTTAATAAATGTTGATTACTTAATAAATGCTAGATGATTTGACTGCAAGATTAGTTTGTATCAGCTTTACATGGATAATAATATGTGCATACTATCTTCTTATAATGCAAACTGCAAGGGGGTTTCACTTTTATCTTTGTATCCCAGTGCTTTGCACAGGGCCTGGAACATAATAAGTACTTAATAAATGCTGTTGATTGACTGTTAACCTCTCTGGGCCTCAGTTTCCTCATCTGTAAAATGATCTAGATGACTTCTAGGTTTCCTTCCAGCTCTCCATGTAAGATCCTTATGTATCAACAGACGTAATTTTGATTTCTCAGCAGCATAGAGGACTTGGAGGAAATACTATCCAGACAAAAGAGCTGTAAGGAGTTCTGGCTTGTTTTCCAAATACCAGAAAATTCTGCATTTCATAGAATATTATGACATCCCCGAGTACATACATGACTAGAAAAGGAGTTATGCAAATCACACATGGCAAGAAAAAAAAAAACGAGCCCTGGCATTACCGTGGCAGCCTGTGAAAAGTGCCAGAGAAAAAGGACCTTTAGCACCTAAAATGAATCCATTAAGGAAGATGAACAAAAGAACATGAATGAGAAACCTTAGTGAGTAAAGGATGCATATTCCCCAGATTATAAATCACTGAGTTAGTCCATGCATGTGCGCGTGCATGTGTGTGTGTCTATGTGTGTATATGTTGTCCAGATCTGGGATTCATTTCTCTCCCAATGCAGATTAGCACCTTGGATAGTTGCCAGGGACCCTGAGGGGTGATGTGACTTGCCCAGGGTCACATAACAAATACATGAGAGAGGCAGGCCTTGAATCCAGTTCTTCCTAGTTCCAAGGCCAGCTCTGGATTCACTATGCCATGATGCATGCATATAAGAAAGTGTGTGTGTGTACGTGTGCATATAGACACACACACACACACACACACACACACATATATATATATACGTATATACTTTTGTGTGAATTGTATATGTATGTTTACATGTATATAGATATGCACATATATCTATGTTTCTGTGGGTTGGTTGGTTGTCCTTAGCTCCTGAAGAGGACCAAAATAACATCACTATGCTAGAGTCAAGTTTCAATGTGTCTGGCTGAGGCTGATCAGACCAATACAAGCTCAGGTTGGGCACAAATAGTCCATGTGAACATTTGGGGTGGATTCTCTAAATTTGCGCATATCATCATTCTTTTGAGCTGCTTCAATTCTGCTTTGCTCGTAGAGCACGGCACCTTCTCTGATGAACACGCGCCGTTCTGGGCAGTCCCGTGTCAGCGTCTCCCATGTCACACAATTCCAAATTTCTTCGGAGAGACCTTGAGAGTGTCTTTATGTCACTTCTCCACACCAGCATGTGAGCTCTTGCCTTGTGTGAGTTCTCTGTAAAATAGTCTTTTGGGCAAATGTACATTTTGCATTTGAACAGAGTGGCCAGCCTGTTGAAGTAGTGCTTTCTACAGGAGAGTCTGAATGCTTGGCAGTTTCATTTGAGAAAGGATCTCGGTGTCCAGTACCTTATCCTGCCAGGTGATCTTCAGAATCTTCCTACTCAAATGGAAGCAATTCAGTTTCCTGGCATGGTGCTGGTATATTGTCCAGGTTTCAAAGACATACACCAAGGAGGTCAGCACAACAGCTCTGTAGACCTTCGGTTTGGTAGTCAGTCTATTACCTCTTCTTTCCCAAGCTCTCCTTCAGAGCCTCCCAAACACTAAGCTAGCTTTGGCAATGCATGGGTCAACCTCATCATTGATGTGTACATCCCTGGCAAGTATAATGCCAAGGTAAGTGAACTTATCCACAGTACTCTAAACTCGTCCATTTACTGTAACTGATGGTTCCAGGTATGGATGGTGTGGAGCTGGCTGGTGTTAATTGTTAGACCAAAATGAGTTCAGGCAGCAGAGAATCAATCCATGCTTTGTTGCTTCTCAGCTTCAGAGGCCACATTGAGTGGACAATCAAAAAGCATGCACCAACACTCCCTCCGATGTCTTTATGCATAGTATGTGTATACACACACATATCAAATAGGCCCATTAGATGGACACTGAGCTAGGCCCAGAATTGAAATGTAGGACAGTAGGCTGTATTGTCTCTGGGTTATTATACACCATTTTCAATGATATTAAGCCATTCCCTAACACAAAAGCTCATCTTTTTTAACACCATTATGCACCTGGTAAAGTTCTTCTGGAGAATCAAAATGACAGATAACTCAGAGGACAAAAGGGCAGACACATAGTGGACATAAGTAGGCTTCATCAAGACTGACGATGAGAATTTGAGGGCAAGAAGTGGTGCAAAAGCTCTCATCAAGGAAATGTGCGATGGCCTAATGAAGGGAGCCTGCTATGGAGTGAGAGGCAAGGATATGAGAAGGGAGGTCAAAGTGCTGCTGTGTTAGCCACAAAATGTGAAAAGACTCCGATCACTAGGCCACTCAGCAAAAATCTATCATGCCAGGCCATGCTCAGTGCTTAGGAGTAAGAAAAAAGAAAAAAGGAAAAATAAAAGCCAAGTCCTTGCTCACAAACATCTCAGAGTCTATGTGGGGCGACAGCATGCAAACATTTATGTTCAAACAATTGCATGCACACACTGGGAGGAGTCTCTTCCTCACGTTCATTCAGCCAGTAGTCTACAATGCACCTACACAATTTCCTTCTTATTTGGCTCAAGACTTGACTTCTCCCAGGCACTTTTCGCCACAAGGCTGCCCAGTTTAAGGACAGACAAGAGGTTTCTAAGATCTCTCTCATGTCCCTGTCTCCTGACTCCCTTGTTAGTGGCTGAGATTACAAAGCCTAACTGTTAACTTAGTAAGGACTCAGATTCCCCACCCCAACCCTGCATGATTTTAGTATCTTCTCTTCCTTCAGATAACTTGTATCAAAACAAACAAACAACCAGATAACTTGTCTCTCAACGCCCTCACAATTCTCCTGCTTCGAGCACAGATATCCTCTATAAACTATAAACAATCTGAATGTCTTGCTATCTTTACTGCCACTTCCAATTGTTTTACAAGCTCCTCCAGGATTTCAGTGTTTGGGTCAAAAGTGGCGGTTCATTGTCCTTGATGAAGGAAACTATTTGTTAAAATTATTTTTGCATATCTTTTTCATTTTTCTTCCATTTATATTTCTTTTATTTTCATCCTCGAATGTCCTTGGAATGACTACTAAGTTGGTTATCTTGCCACCCTTTCCTTAAACTTGTTTTACTCAGCACTGATAATGCTTGCTGACAAACACATTTTAAAAAGACTCACAGGAAATAAGAAGGTGTGGATGGGCTGCAAGTGTGGTTACAAGAAGATAGACGATGAGATTTTGGATTGCTTAGAATATGTGCAGAAGATGGGAAAGAAGGCAGGTAATCGAGGATGTGTATATGGAGGTGATATGGTTAGTGCTAGCAGAAGTAAAGTTGGTGCAAAATGCCAAGGACGACAAAGGGGCTTTTTTTAGAGCTGGGTTAGGGGCAAAAGAAAGATTAAAGAAGAGACAAATCAACTGTTCAAATGGAAAAATGATAACATATGGTAGAGAGAGGGAAGAACCACCTAACTCTTATTCTGCATCAGAATTCTCCACCAAGGAAATGATTGGCAGACTAGGAAGGACTAAAGGGGAAAAAAGCACCAGTGAATTGGGAATTGAAACCTAAATGAAGGGATAGAGGCCACCTAGCTGCCTTGGATGATGTCAAATCTCCAAGCCTAAGTGAATTCTATTGGCTCCAAAGAAGAGATATGAGAAGATAACTCCCCTCATTCTTTTGAGGGCCTATGTGGGGTGGGATATTACAAATGACTTCGCTTTTTAAAAAATAGGTTCTTTAGTGTTGTTGAACTTTTTCCCCTTCTTTTCTTCTTACTTAATTATAAGAGAATGGCACTCT